CACTGAGCTCCACCTGATCTCCACACTGAGCTCCAGCACACTGCAGAGATGAGCTTATCTTATCTTGTTTTAGGTAAGTTTGCCAGTCTGTCCTACACATTTGTGTAATCACCTACAGTGGGAAAGGAGTGTTTATAATGAAAGCCTATTTTGTTGTGCTGGTGAAATTTTTTTTCAGGTCCTCAGTTATGTGTCTCTCAGGGACCAGAATAGTTGAATTATCTGCAGCTGTGCAAGAATGACATTTTGCTCAATCTGTACAAGACACTGTGTGACTGTGTGAACAGTAAAGAGACTTTAAACCAGTGAAGAGTCAATCTCTTGCCGGTGTTAATCCTGTAGTCTAGAATGCTGATGTCCTCAACTCCTCTCCTCAGCCCTGACACCTCTTTCCCTATTTCAGATCTACAGGTAACCCCATACCTCATCAGATCTGAGCTCCCTTTACTCTGATTCTTACACTGGATTCTATTAAAGATTCTGTTAACTCATCCTTTATATGTAGCAGCTGTACATTATTTCTAAAACTGCGAAATTTAAAAAATGTGGGATGAATAACTCTGTAAGAGATTAAATCCACCAGTGATCAAATTGCATTAATTAATTTAATAGTACATTTAGTACAACACCATGAATAATGAATAATAATTAATGATACAACTGCAATTTATTTACAGCCAATTGTCTCACACAAACCGGTCAGGTGACTGAGGATGGCAGGTCATTCCACACAGCCTTCTGGAGAATTTAGTTCAGATAACAGTCTACATCCTCTCTGAACATACTGCCCTCTCATGCAGACCAGTTAAAATAATTAAATTTTAAACAGGTCCAGGACCATATTTAAAGAAAAAAGGAAAGCCTGAAAAACTCTTCCTAAAGTCAGGAGCCTTTGCTTAGGCTTCACTCTAGAACACAATACAGGTTACCTGCTCTGGGGCCAGTTACACCCAAAGATTGTATTCACATCAGTTTTGCTGTTTTCACATGAGCAGTTAACCACTAGACTGTTTTTGTTGTTTAGAGTCAATGAAAACTTTTGAGCTGAGGATCCTGCTGGTGGGGAAGACTGGAGCGGGGAAGAGTGCAGCAGGAAACACCATCCTGGGGAGAGAGGAGTTCAGATCTGAGCTCTCTCCCTCCACAGTAACACAGTGGTGTGAGAAGAGGACAGGAGAGGTGTCAGGGAGGAGTGTTGCTGTGATCGACACTCCAGGCCTGTTTGACACAGAGCTGTCCAAAGACGAGGTCACAGATGAGATAGTGAAGTCTATATCTCTGTCCTCCCCGGGACCCCATGTGTTCCTGGTGGTCCTCCAGCTGGGCAGATTCACACAGGAGGAGAAGGACACAGTGAAGCTGATCCAGAAGGCCTTTGGAGAGAGAGCAGCAGATTACACCATGGTGCTCTTCACACATGGGGAAGAACTGAGGGGTCAGAGTATTGAGGATTTTCTCATGGATAGCAAAGATCTTAAGGACTTTGTCAGTCAATGTGGGGGTGGTTATCATGTGTTTAACAATGAGAATCCAGAGGACCGCAGTCAGGTGGCAGAGCTGCTGGAGAAGATAGACAGGATGGTGGAAAGGAACAGAGGAGGCCACTATACTAATAAAATGTACCAGGAAGCTGAGAGAGAAATCAGGAAGGAGCAGGAGATCCTGGAGGTGACAGGGACTGGGGACAGAGACGATACAAAGCTTCTTCCTAAACCCAGAGATCGAGCAGAGAGAAACAACGCATTTTTACGGAGGTTTGGTGTTGTGGCTGGTGCAGGAGTGGGAGCAGCAGGGATAGGAGCAGGAATAGCCGCAGGAGTAGAAATAGGAGCAGCAGTGGGATTACTGGGGGGGCCAGTAGGAGTAGCAGTAGGAGCAGCAGCAGGACTGGCTGCAGGGGCAGCAGCAGGAGCTGTGATAGCCAACAGAGAGAAAATAAAAGAAGTAGCAGAGAAGTGCAGAGTGCAGTGAGAGGAGACAGAGACACAGAGCCACACTCTAACAGAGTTACTATTATTATTTATCAAAGGGGAACTGCAGTACTCATTTCTCAGATAGAGTGTTAAATCTCAACAATAAAATAAATTAATTGATGGTATCATGACATTTTATAAATTTCAAATTAAGTGTAAAATCCTGAGCTTTGTGAAAGTGCTGTATGGTTTCCATGTTGTCAAAGGCAGACGAGAAACTGCTGGTCTGGTAACAGGCAAGAGCGAGAGTTTTCATGAATTGTGATGTGAAAGCAGCCCTTCCTGCTCACTAGTCACTAAGCAAATAGTGGCGAGTGAATGAGAATAAGGGAATGAGAAACATGGTCTCCTAACTACATTAATCCTTTTTTTGTATTTATGAACTCACGTATATATTTTAAACAATGCCTCACTGTCAAGCATATGGCTGTTCAGAACATAGTGGTCACACACAAAACAGAGGATCAGATCTGCAGAAAGTCAGCCTGTTTCCTTTTCCAGGTGATACTCAGCTAGCCAGGAGATGGGTAATAAACATGGGCACTGACGTTGGTCCCATCGACAAGTTTCTCAACTTGATTCAGCGTGATGGACGGGCGAATAAGTACAGATTATGCAGCAGACATTTCACCCAGGAAATGTTCGAACGTGATCTGAATGCTGAGTAAACAAGTAGTATTTCCCGGTAAAACTGTCTCAAAGTTGATATCATATCAGTTGAACTCATTCAAATCGGCTTGGGCTCAGCAACTCCTCCAGGAATATACATCCTGCCAGATTATTTCTTTTAGGTGAAGATTTACCAAAGAATAACCACCAGTGAAAATGATAGAGCACTTTTACAAGATTGGCTCTTTTTTGTGCAATACTTAGATAAAGTATTTAAAAAACACATTGCCTTGTACATCTCGGTTTCATGAAAATATTTAAGATTAATATAGTAGCAAAATTTGTCCAGTGTAAAGTATGTTTACAATGTAATAGGCCTACTTTTCCCGTCACCAGAAGTCTTGTTGCCTGATTCTAAATCACACACAATGAAACTACAAAGACATTGAAACCTCATCTCTTTTGTGTTATAAATTGGAAGTTGTACACATTACCATGTATTTGGCAATTTCATTGTGGTTTGAAACGCACTCATCACTGCTGATTCATTATAACCTTGAAATATAAGAACAGCATTGCAGTTCTCCTTTAAATTGTAAATGTTTTGCTTTTTTTTCTTGCAACAACAATCTTAGTCATTTTTATGTAATTATCATTTAATCTGACATACTTGTTAAGAGCTTGGCTTAAAAGGTGTTGTCAGTGTGTTACTAACCCAAGAATCAGCTGCACACAGAGATTTTACTGTTTTATTTTTGTTTAATACATATATATTTTTTGCAGACTTGTTATCGAGCACTGAGCTAAACCAGAAGTAAACAAACTGTGTTGGTGAAATGGAGGACAATGGTTTTATAACTGATGGTCTTTGAGTGTTTTCATGACACTTTCTTTCTGTTTGTCTGAAACCTTAAAATAAACCTCTTTCTGTCTCCACTGTGTCATCTCCTCACTGATTAACACCATCAGAGGTCAAGTTTGTGTACAAGTTCATATTGAGCTTTCAAGGGAAAGACAGCAGCCTGACAGCAGCCCCAGTCTCCCCAGTCTTGAGTGACTCTTGCACACGGCCAGCCTGCTGGCTCTCAGGAGCCCAGGGCTGTACCTGCTTGTTCCAGAGCAGATCTACCGGACGTCTGTGTGTCAGTGACGTGCAGGAGACAGGAGCTCACAGCCAGTCCCCAGAGCTCCTCTCTGAGGAAAGCAGGGATGAATTCATGTTCCATTAGTGATCCACCTTTCAGTGTGGCAACAGCAATGGTCCTGTGACCAGGAGCAAGGGCAGGTGTTGAGTCATCTGGTTTGGATGGCTCCTGCGTCTCAGGGATTATATTCTAGATCGGCGGACCTGTACAAACACTCTCTGCTGGTTTACTTTCCAGCTGAGCTCTGCATCTCCAGTGCTGAGGACTTATTCGATCTGCTTGCAGGTCTAGACTTATTTAAGTTGTTTCTTCTGTTACTCCTGAGTGTGACAAATACCTGACTTCAGGGATATTGTTTCCACCACCTTCTGAGTGTTTGAAATACCTGTCTACAAGAGCACACAGAGCTGCACACAGCCTGCACTCAGCTGGTATCAGACGCACTCACAGCAGGAGTGACACTGTATCAGACACTCACAGCAGGAGTGATACTGTATCAGACTCACTCACAGCAGGAGTGATACTGTATCAGACACTCACAGGAGTGATACTGTATCAGACGCCCACTGCAGGA